TATGCACGCCACGGGTGTCTCGTGATGGTTTTATCTTGTGGAAGTGCTGAGGACTCTGGGTTAAGATTGTAGGATCATTAACTTTGTGACTGAGAGGAACCAAACCACAAGAATCCATATAACCAGCCTCTTGTTGCCTAGATACAGTTCTGCACTGTCTACGGGGTCATTTTAAGCCTTTTAAGGACATACGTGTGAGAGTGTATGTAGCTCGTATGTGAACCCAGCCATGGCGTCAGCTTCTTATGCGTATAAAATCAGCCCCTCCGCCATGTACTGTTTTCCTTGTTGATGTAGTACTCCACCACCCCAGATGAGTGAGAATGAGTTTAAGGAGAGACGTCTTCCCCCGCTAGCTCTGTTCTCTGTGTGCATCGTGAGCCATTTGTTGAGCCTGCTGGGAGTGTGAACTCCTTAATGTCAAATCATCCTGCAATCTTAAAGTGGTCCAGCTGTACTCCCACTGAGTCAAGCAGGAAGCAACACTGGCTCAGATGCAGAGGGGTCAAAGGGCAAGTGCTCAAAACAGAGGCGGACAGAAGCAGAGGAGGAAATCAATATTCCTTGCTTCTGATGTCAATATGTGCTTTCTTTCCTTTGGAATCCAACAATTTTTGACTTGTTTTTCAAACTACACTGTAAATATGATTTGATGTCTAGTTGGACGGCTTCAAGAACTTTCTGAGACTGTTTACTTACCGTCATGTTTTATACTTGTTGCTTAAATGTCCTCATTACAGCTTTAAAAAGGTAACAAATGCACCATTTAGTTATCACAAGCATATCCACCTTTTCCCTCTGCAACCACTGAATATATTCTATGTCAGATTCTAACTTCCATTGACCTGTTGTCTTATTCAAGTCTCCATAGAAACCCATTTTAATACTGGGTAAAAAGAGCAACTGAATTAATTCAACAAAACCTTTTTTAAGAATAAATATGAGCTCAGGGTCAAGCTGTTCTTTTGTTGGTTGCCACAACAACAGCAATGAACTAAGGGAATTCCTAGAAATTACTCTTTTGAGCACCACCAAACCTGAAAAGAATGTCTGAGTCCAGCGCTGTGTGCAATACATTCTACAAAAAGCCTTCTGAACCTTGCCACGATCCAAAGCTCTATGACCTGTTGTCAGTGTAGTTAACCTAGGGCCATTTCATGTTATCTACACAATCATTAAACAAACAGGCAAGGCACTGCAGAAATACTGTCATTGTAACACTGTACACAATGGGTGAAACTATGGAGCCATATGTTATTTTTTTAAACCATTTTCTTAGGTTTAATGTTACATTATCATCTAGGAAAATACGCACATTTGACAAGGAAATGTAAAACAGTTTTCCGGTATGAGTCAGACAAGACTTCTGCATTCAGGAAAAAGGTGAATAGTTCATATGATTTATGCACTATATTACAAATCCTCTGAAGTCACATGATAACTTTGTGTGAGTGACAGACTGAAATTTAAATCATTATTCACTGATTAAATTTCCCTCTGGTGGTGGTTATTCGCTGCTACTGAATCACTGAGACCATGAACTCAAAAACTTAACAGTTAGATTCGTGAATCAATCATTTGAGCCAGTTTTGTGAACTGGATCAATTGATTCATTGAAAATATTCAAAATAACAATTCATTCACAAACTGGATGATAACAGATTTTTTATTTTATTTTATTATTTTATTTTATTTATTTTATTTTATTTTACTCTTATTTTATTTGTCCCACATTTGACATATAAATTGTTCAATTCTCTAAAATGTCTCCTTTTTTGTGTACAGTGGTTAAAATAAAGTCATACAGATTTGGAATGATGTGAAAGTGAATAAGAAATGAGTGAATTTTCATGAAATAATGCTTTATCTAAGTGTGTAGTCTCTGTAGTGCACAGAAAGACACAGTTCTGGTACAGTTGCTGCTTCCTGTGATTTATTTTGTGGTCCATCCCACCCCATAAATGAAATATTTATTCCTGTTATCTCTGCTGTGGGATCCAGTGGTTCCATAAATTGTAAAGTGTGCATCCTTATTGTTGCTCTCCTTTTAATTACAGCTCATGCAACAGCTGTGTGGTGTTGCATTTAACAAAGACTGTAAAATTTGAGTGCACGCTTTTTTACTTTGGGTGCTGTTCAAAACCTAAAACAAACCTGAGTAAGTCCATTAAACATTTCATAAACAATTTCCCATAGAAATGCTCACAGGGGAGTTACTGTATTTATGTCTCTTTGTAGAGGTTGGCAGAATTTACTAGAGGCCATAGACTTTCATAGGTAGTTTTGGAGCAGGATTTTTTTTTTTAATTACTGGCCTTGTTCTGTGAAGTACTCATGCAGCAAAATGCATAGATGGCTGTGAAAGCTTGCAGTTGAGTGTTGGAGAGGTTTTGATAAGTTTGGAGGAGCTGGCCATGGTGCTGAAGTACTGAGAACACAAGAAGCAAAATGCTCTCAGTGGCAGCATAATAAGAGCAATCATGTACGCTTGTACTTTCAACTGTCATCACGTCATGGGATCATATGATCCTTGAGAAAAAATTGATTCTTATGTGAGAGATGAGGCTGGTGTTATGTGCAGAAACTGTCACTCTGTTCCAAACTCTAGTGAGCTGCCTCCATAAGCAGCGTACTAGGGCATCATAAGTGTGTTCTTGATGTGAAGTCAGCTTCAAAAGGTTAGTAGTATTATTTTATTACAATATCACGCATAATATTTTTTACTTTTTTTTAAAGAAATACATAATATTATTCAGCAAGGACGCATTCAATTGACAGTAAAGGCTTTTACTTTGTTACAAAATATTTCTATTCAGATAAATGCTGTTATTTTAAACTTGCTATTCATCAGATTTTTCTTTCAAAACATTTCATCAACCCCAAACTTTTTAACTGTAGTGTACATGAAAATATATAGTTGCATTTAAGTTTTGGAAGGGGGGCCCTCTCCAGAGGAAAATAGTATTTAGGGGTTCTTGGCATTAAAAAGTTTGATAATCCCTGTATCTGTCACCACTGGTTGCAGAAGAGAGGAAACAGCAATCGTATTCAGAAACTAACATAAAACTCCAGAACAGGAAAAACAAAACCAACTTAAGACGTAGAACTGACAATGAACTAAAAGAAACACAGGGCTTAAATAGACAGGACAAACAAATGGAGAAGCTAACTAAACACACCTGAACTGAGGAACCTAATAAAATCAGTAACCATAGAAACAAACCAGAAGAGAACGGAGGAGAACTGAACTAATTAAGAGTCAAGGTGATTAACAAAGAACCTCAAACCTGAACAGAACAGAGAAACTGAATAAAAACAAACTCTAAACCAGAACTAACAAACCAAAACCGCGACAGTATCAGAGTATTATGCCATTAGCTTAGCAACATTAGGAACACTTATGAAGGTGCTGTACATAGCCGACAGTGATTCAGCACTTCAGGTTTTGAAACAGATTGTGTCTTTGTGATATGTGGAAGAGTGAAAAATTTAAGGGGGTCTGAATACTTTCCGTACCCACTGTATATTTGGAGAAAGTACTGGTTAATGTGACACTTTGTGTGAAATGTAATGTGTAAATAATGGCGTGCTGGTAAGTTAATTCATCAGGAATTCATTCTGAAGCAGCTCAGGAGCTTGGAGGACTACAGTATCAACACTCTGTTATATCCAGGCACCTCTGACCATCTGAACGCCACTTTATTGGCTGTGACTTCAGAAAAAACAGGAAGATACAGGGCAGTGGAGAGTGAGAGCCACAGTGTTCACAGACAGGAAATGGGGTTTGATTAGTGAAGACATTGATCTTGGCATTGGTTTCACAGATGGTGGATGCATGTGCGCAACACCAAGGGACCAATCAGCTTTCTCCCTCGACACCAACAAAAATCCCTCTAAATCAAAAACTATGCACTTAGTAGCCAGTAAAGTCAACAATATTTCAACACCACATATCACAAAGACACAATCTGTTTCAAAACCTGAAGTGCTGAATCACTGTCGGCTATGTACAGCACCTTCATAAGTGTTCCTAATGTTGCTAAGCTAATGGCATAATACTCTGATACTGTCGCGGTTTTGGTTTGTTAGTTCCGGTTTAGAGTTTGTTTTTATTCAGTTTCTCTGTTCTGTTCAGGTTTGAGGTTCTTTGTTAATCACCTAACAATTCAAATTAAGTGCAGTTAATGCCTAGTTCACACTACAGGATTTTAAGCCCGATTTTCAAGTCAGTGAGCTCGCCGACAGGTCAGGCTGTGATCGGGGAAAAATCAGCGGGTGATCAGCGCTCGGCAATCCTTATATGTGAACTACTCAACGACGCATCAAAGAGGCTCGCTGATGTGTCGCCGACACCAGACGAATATCTAGTATGCTAAATATCTGGACTGGTTGGCCGACTCGACATCATGTGGTGTCAGGTGTCGCAATAAGCTACAGCCAATGAGAGAGCAAGGCATGGGTTAAGGTCAGTGGAAGAACAACAGCAGCAGCAGCATGGCTTTAAGAAAAGTTTGCAGACAAGAATGGACAGACAAGATGGAGCAACATTTTTCAGAACAAATCATCTCGCAAACAGCTTGCAGCACTAATTTCTTCCCGAATGTCCATTTTCAAATAAGCAACTCCTGTTTCACTTGTTTCGCATCATTCCCGTTACTTCTTGCGTGTGTTTTCATGAGAACACGTGGTTTGGGGAGCGGATAGAGTCATTGGGTGAGTTGTTGTCAGCTCGTGTAGTGTGTGACCCCCTGTTGCAGATCATTTACGTAGTGTGAACACCACAACAACTTCAAGACAGACAGCAAGTCATGTAGTCTGAACAGCACAGCGATCTGCCGATGTTTTAAGTCGTGTATTGTGAACTAGGCTTAACTTGCTTGTCTAGTACAAAATGAAAATCTTAATTTCTACTAAATGTCAAAAATGAATCATTTTGATGTAACTGATTACCTCAACTGTTTGGAGATCTGCTAACCTAATTTTGGTAATTGGTATTCTAGGACTGTCGGTTCTGCAGAAGGTTCTGGACACAGCAGCAGAGCATAACTGGCTGGTGACCTCTGTGAATGTGGAGACAATGACAGAAGCGTCCTTCCTCAAAGTGTTCCAGGACCTGGACAAAAAGAAGGAGGGTCAGATCATCATCGACTGTGAGCTGGAGAGACTCACCTCCATCCTGAAGAAGGTAATTGTCTCTCACCAATCTTATTATAGTCATACATGCTGTCAGGTGCTCCAGATTAATGAGGAATCCAAGTTTGGATCCAAATTGAGAATGTTCTTTGCTTTAAATGTTCTAAGACCACTTAAATATGTCTTTCAATCAAGACAAACAGCTAGTCATAGCTACACAAACAGTCATCTTTAATGCTGCTAATAACCATGCCATTATGAATATATATCAGTAATCATCTGAAGGCTTGGATGACTCAACTTAAAATGTAATTCAGAGCTGGAATACTCGGATGAAGCCTGTGGCCACTCGAATCAGATGAAGTGGCCTGTGCAACAGGCCCCAGAATGCTCTCTCTCACTCTCTCTTTCTCAAAAAGCGGCAAGGACGGAGCAGATAAATAACACTGGGCTGACATTTGGGGTTGGCAGCGGAGACATAGTGACGCGTCACTTTCTCTGTCACCTCTCTCCGCTGCCTGGAGGAGGAGGAAGCATCCTGTTACTGTAATTAATGAGAGCATGCCTTTTCTTCCCTTTCTCTACTTTCCTCTATTTCATGACTCAAACAGAAGACCCTCGACAGGCCGTGTTGTGTTATTGATAGCACGGTGGCCACAGTTAAGGCTGTTGCATCATTTGGTGGCAATTTGCACAGCACGTCTAGACAAATTTTTCCTCTATGGAAGCAATCATCCATCACCATGCTTCCACCAATCATACCGTAAAACAACATTGGTGTAATTTTCCCCCACTTTGATTCACATTCTTTCACTAACACCAGGGGCTAGGTGGTTTAATAGAGGAAAAACTATCTGTGCATGGTTTTCATCGCCCTCTTAGCATGAAAGATGTGTGGAGCTTTTTAGTTAGGAATATTTTATAGACCTCATGAAGTAGTTTGCTAAGCACAATTTTATTTTCTTGTGTACTTCCTTTTGAAATAGGATGGCATATCAAAGGGCTTGTCCTTTTTTCAGATAGCCAATAGGGCTGTGCGATATGACGATATATATTGGATGGATGAAATAAAAAGTCTATCGTTTATTTCGTGGTGTCGCAAAATACTTTGTTTACGGTAATATTTTTTCATCATTTGGATGACTGCGCAGGGGTGGATCTAGAAAATAATTTTTAGGGTGGCATGGGGTCTATGAGGGGTGGCAACACCAAAGCAAGCCCCCCCCCCCCCCCCCCCTCTAAAATTACATATAGGCTACTTAGATGGTATAATCACGTTTAGTGCAAGTTTAAGAGCAACAAAAACTTTTGAATTTCCTGACATTAGAAAGAAATACAATAATATCAAAGCACTGAAACTGGATCAGTTTTGAAAACAATGTTTGACTTTCTGTTATTAACAGGTGGGAATGTCTGTAATCACCCAGAACAAACTCTATCAACCATATACTCTATAAACACCCCAGTAACTGCATAGCAAGAGCCTAGCAACCAACAAGCAACACTTTAACAAACATCTAGAACATCTGACCAACCCATTTATGTTTTTTAAACAAGATTTCAGGACAAGCCAGCATAAATTTGTCTTTCAAACTTTTCAATCTAGTTATTACAGTTTTCTTACAGGTTTTTTTCAACTGCTTACACACATTTTCAAAACTTTGCCTCTTTATCCGAAGAGAGCTCCTGGGTGGACGGAGATGACATCCTTGACCCTTCATTAAGTGCCAATTATCACCGACTCCATCTGGACCGTCCCGCTCCCAGAGGCCGAGGCCGGCCTCGTCGTCGTGGTTCCCGAACGTCTGGAGACGCCCGTGGGGGAAGGGGTACTGTCACGGAGACACCATCTACAATCACAGAATCAATCACGCATCCACGCCCTCAATCACCTGAGTACTGAGCACCTGCACATTATCACACACTATAAGACCACACTCACCACTCTGGCTCATCGGTTGGTCTCAAGGTTACTCCTTCAATGGCTTTCTCTTCGGCTCTGCTAAAAGACTGTAACTTGCCTGTGCTCTGCCTATCACCAAGATATTCGTGTGCTCAAAGGATTGTGAACTGGAAACCGGGTGTTTCAGATAAGACTGTTCTCATGCACTCTCTGCCACATTAACCTCAGTTGCTTCCACGGAGATACCTCTGTTGACATGAGTTTGTGTTGACTTAATAAAAGTGACGTTTGTTACCGGCATCTCTCCTAGTCCTCGTCTTTGGCACACTGTGACAGTATCACTAAAGAAGACATAGGCTACATAGATGGTATAATCACGTTTAAGAGCAACAAAAACGTTTGAATTTCCTAACATTAGAAAGAAATAATATTTGCTGACAATCAAAGCACTGAAACCGTATCAGTTTTGAAAACTGTTTGATTTTCTGTTGTTAACAGGTGGGAATGTCTGTAATCACCCAGAACAAACTCTATCAACCATATACTCTATAAACACCCCAGTAACTGCATAGCAAGAGCCTAGCAACCAACAAGCAACACTTTAACAAACATCTAGAACATCTGACCAACCCATTTATGTTTTTTAAACAAGATTTCAGGACAAGCCAGCATAAATTTGTCTTTCAAACTTTTCAATCTAGTTATTACAGTTTTCTTACAGGTTTTTTTCAACTGCTTACACACATTTTCAAAACTTTGCCTCTTTATTTCAAAACTTTACACACAAATCCAAGAATTGCACACACAAAATGCAAAATGCCTCACATCTTTTGCAAAATGAAGCACTGCATTCAAAATATCACAAACATTTTTGGTGCAAACATTTGCAAACACCAAATTTTTGTGTGTTACATAGAGAATTGTGTGTTGCTGTGTTTTGCAAAAAGTGTTTTATGAAATTGAAAACTGAGTCAAAGGCAGAGAATGGTTGGTGTATGGTTTTGCAGATTTGTCGTGTGGTTCTGGTGTTTGAGTGTCAGGTTTCAGAAATTGTGTGACAAGTAAAGATTTTGTGTGTTTACATGCTTACACACAATTCAAATACACAGATGACTTTCCTGCCCAGTGAACACTGAGATCAATAGCACTGTAACAAAAAACTCTTACTTGGATTCAGGAATTATTTTTGCAGCTCAATGTCTATTACAGTATACATAAATTAAATTACAGATACAGATGTATAATTCAGCAATGAACTTTTGGGGGAAAAAATAATTTTCATTTTACTACTGTAAAGTAATCTTGCAGTAAATGAAAAGTACTAGAAAAGTTCACGTACCAAAGAATTGTATGAACTTGGCATGCACTACAATACACACTGTAAAAAGTAATTAGTTGAACTTACTTGGAAAACCTGTGGAAACTGACTGTCTCAAATTTCTCAAGCAAAATAGTTTATCATTTTTTAGTTAATAAAACTTACTGTAACTTTGTATAGGTAACTTGTGTATATGTATAGGTTACCAGAAAACTTGAGTGTTGCTAACTCAATTTGACAAGTTCAGCCAATTTAGAGATGTAAGTTAAGCTTAGTGCACAGAACTCAAAAACAGTTCTCTTAATAAGTCTGCTTTGTTCACATTACTAGACAAATGTGTGGAAACAGATTGCCTTAAATTTCTCAAGTAAGCTGTACTCAAAACTTAGTTGTTAATACAAAGACAGAAGACAGATTGTTAGCACAACAATAGGGCATTTATTTGTTTAAAACAATGTTACTTCAAGTCATTATTTTTTAGGCATGCTATCAAATCAACAATTTAACACTGTAAGAAAAATCGCACATACTGCACTCAGGAAATAAATAGAAAAAAACAAACATCAACATCCCTTTTATGACACCTTGTAAATCTAGATTTACCATGTTCTAGAATTACCTTTTTCTAAATCAATAATGATCAATCATGAACAATTATGTTGAAAAATGCTCCATCACGCCACAATGACATCTTTCTACATCAGAAGATTTTTCAGAGATTGCATTCTAGGTTCAGCCATTGAATGAAATCAAAGGTGTCCTTCAGTTCTGGAGGATACTATAATTTCATAGCATAAAT